CCTCATGAGCCCTTGATAATTTATAAATTATTATTTTGTCATATCTTGCCCTGTCCGACGTCTCCCTTCACCCACTTTTCTGTCGTCCGTCCCCCAGGGAGGAGGTCACATGTAGATCCTTGTCATTGGTTCCCTCTTTCCAAACCACTCTCCTTCTACCCTCTCAGTATCGCCACTCACACCACGGGTCCTGAAGGAATCATCTGTCCTGGATTCCCTGTGTTTCCAGTTCCTATCTGTACCAGTGTACATCCTCTGGTCTAGCCAGACTTGTAAGGTAGAATTCGTATCATGATAGTGGGGTGGGGTGGGGGGAAGCATTTAGGAACTAGAGGAAAGTTGCATTTCTCATAGTTGCTACATTGCACCCTGACTGGCTCGTCTCCTCCCTGAGACTCCTCTGCAACGGGATCTCCAGTGGACAGGCCATTTCTTACAAGAGTATCTGGCTCTGGCATTTCCAGCTCTGCCCCAAGCGGGGAGTCTCCTTCTCCTGCCCGGCCCCGCCCATCCGGCAGGGCTGGGAAATGAGTGCCCAGCAGGAAACCTTCACAAAGGCTGGCTGGCACCCACCTCCTCTGTGTCAGTTTGGGCTCGGGACTGTCTGGCGGGAGGGCCCATGCTGTTCCTATCTGGGCGCGAAGATCAGAAGGGAGCCCCAGATAAAAACCTACCTGCAGACAACAAACTGCCGGAGTGGGTGCTTGCTGGCTGAAGCCTACTTCCCACCAGCAGGGACCCTCGGGGCAGGGGAGAGCTGCCTCTCCCCACAGGGTGTCCTAGGCTGCGGTCTCTAAGGAGTACATCCACCTCGCCAGGCCTTCTAGCCCGGCGGGGCAGCTGGCCAGGCTCAAAGCGCCACCCTTCCGGTCAGCACCTGAGCGCCTAACCACTGTGCCACCAAGGCTACCCATTTAGTGAAGCTCTGGTTGACTCAGCGATGAGACCACTGCACTCATTGGCTTCCCAACGTTTTCTGCACAGTAGAATTCCATGTGAAGTCTGAAAGGGGGCTCTTGGGGGCTGAGGGTGAGGCTTTGGACTGCTAACCACAAGGTTGGCAGTTCAAACCCACCAAGCACTTCTGACGCTCCTATATAGACTTCCAACCTCGGTGCCTCTCTCTTGGGACGCTCGAGTCAGAATGAACTCAGTGGTGGTGAGGTTTTTGGTTTGGCAGGGCTTTAAAAACTCCCCAAGGAGAAACCATGTCCCGAGCCAATTATACGGGAACCTCAGGGCAGTCCTGGACCTCTGAATTAGTCATTGGTCCGGTGAGTGCTCTGTGCTGCCGCCACACTGACAAGCCAGGCCGCACCCAGGCCTGTGGAAACGGAACGTGCAAGCGCATAGCCTGGGCTCTTGCTCAAATGGGGCGGCCCGGTGCTGCTGCCGCTGCCGTGCTGGGCCGCTCTGAGGAGAAAGGCTGACTAGTTAAGCCTCAGAACTAAGGCAATTGGGACTCACGGTGACCACATGTTGGGCCGAGGGGAACGGCTCCACAGGGATTTCTTGGCGGGGATCTATATGGAAGTAGAACACGCCAGGCCTATCTTCCGTGGCACTGCGGCTGGGTGTCAACTTGGAAGCCACCGAGCTCCCAGCTGTTGGTTTTTCCAGAAGGGCTATAGAAGCTGGGGGCTACCTGATCACTGACCGCGCCCGAGCGAGAGGGCAGTGTGCTCTGGTTTAGGGGATCGGCTCATGTCCTACGGGGCATTTCTTGCCTTTTGGGCTGCAGCCATCACTTGTTGTTCATAGATGTCGAGGTTCTGATTCATTAGCTCCAAGGCCTGCTTCCGGGTGGTGAGCGATAGGGGGTCCGGACTCAGGATAGACGGGTGCTCGTACACGGCGGCCACGTAGTGCTCGACCACAGGGTGTTCTGCGCCGCACCGCTCCCAGGCCTGGGCTTCCAGGGCAACCACACAGCAGCCACAAAGGAAGAGCGTGAGCCAACCGCTGGCCCCAGCCATGGTGCAGGCCGTGAATCTGGAATGTAACAGGGCGGGGGAACAGCCGGATCAGGGGTCCTGCCAAGAACTCCACGTCCGCAGCTGTGAGTTATTCGTCCCAGCCACGAAACGCACCCGCGGGGACGGTGTGGCTCACTCTGTTTCGTGCCCCTAATAAAGGGTCTGTGTTTCTCTCCAGACACGTAGCACGCTACGCTTCAAAATGGCCCACCGTGAAGAGCCTGCTTTTAGAACATTTCCAAAACGTTTGCCACGATGGTTTTACACGGTGTTTAGCGAGACCGCAGTGCATCGCCGCTCGCACACTGGTTTAAGGCAGTCACAGCCCTTCCAATTGTGCTGTGTAATGCTAAGGTATAACTCACACTCTTCCCACCTCGCTCCACTTCTGCAGACCCCAATTAAATACTTAAACCCCAATTAAATACTCTCTGCTGTGGGCTGGCCAAAGAGCAGGGCCCCGAGTTCGGGGACTGCCGTGCCAGTCCGCGTGATCCTCTTCCCAGCCCTCCATCCCTGGCTCACGCCACAGCCCTGGCTCACAAGCATAATGCTGTGGAAGGCGGGTCTTCTGCGGGGGCAGAAACACAATTTTCTACAATGCTAACTAGAATGTCTTTTTGTAGAATGTACACTAGCCATTTCTGGAAGGCAAACTCATTTTTGCAGTCTCCTTTGTAAGAGATGAGACATAAATTACGGTGTCATTACACTGGCACTTCTGTGTGCGCCGCCCCCGGCCCTGCGGATAGGAATTTCTCTCTTTCTTCTGTGTGTGTTACTCAGTGTTTTAGAATGAATAGTCAATTCTGCCTTGACGAGCAGCCTGGCTCCCAGCGCACAGAGATTTGCCCAGTTTGGTGTGCCCGGCCAGGCCACTGGCTCTGTGGTGATGCGCTGGGACTGCCCACCTCCCAGGGACTCGGATTAAACACCAAGAAAACCAAGTCACGCCGATGACTCAGACCGTGTGGAGGTTATAAAGAACACCCACCCTGTGTAAGTTTCGACTCATCACTCCCGTGTTCCTGTTTCAAAGCCAAACTCCATTGGCTGTGAACTTTTTTAATTTTTTTGTCAAAAGTACCAGAAACCAAAGCAAAAATAACCAGAGTTATTTTTCAGGGCACCATAACGACTAGGGACGCTCATTCAGAATCTGGCCAAGAGTAAATTCTTCTCAGCACGAGGCCCATTCTCTCATCTCACCCCCAAGTCCTCTGCCCCACCTCACACTGTTGCTCCTTTCCCCAGGGAATCAATGGACCGTCCAAATACCAAGCTCGGGATTTGTAGCCATTCATTGGGACACTGTAAACAATGTCTTAGATAAGAACAAGGGCCCTTTCAGTGAGCAGTCATGAGTTTTTGAGCATAAACAAAAGTATAATTGATAAGCCTTCTTCTCTGAATTTTGCCTCTGAAGGCAAGCAAGGAATAAGTTAAAGCGTCTCAGGAGCTTACTGTCCACTCCCGTTCTGCTTTCATGGTTAAAGGCACATTCGCAGGATTTCCAGTGCATGCAGCAATGACCTGGCTAACTAGTGGGAAGCTGAGGATGGGGCAGGGCAGGGCAGGTGTGCCTGGGGTGGAGGTGGCCGGTGCCCCCAGTTTCCCCTTTCTCAAGGCAGTGTTGTCTGTACCCCCATGGATTTGGGGACAAAAGCTTTGCCAGCTCCAAGCGACTTGCAGTCCAACAAAACAAGGAAACTGCGGAGCCAGCAAGCCACCATCTTTCTAGTTGGAGAAAAGAAAACCTCTGTTACTTACAAGAGGAGCCTGGTGGCAGAGCTGTAAGCAGCCATCATTTGTGTGGGCAAAGGTAAGCCGATAATAAGAGGCTATGCAGATACAACCAGGTAGTCGTGCTCCGAAGAACACAAGCTTAATGAGGTGGCGGCGGATGAGCAATTCCAATAAAAACAGGTCGGCACAGCTTTCCTCAAATTCACAAATGCTATCTTCACCCTTTGCTGGCACCAGACACAGCCCCAGGGTAACCCAGACAAGGCCTGGGGCCAGCAGCAAGCCTTCACCCAGAGCTTCCAGGGGCCACTGGGGCTGACTCACCATATTTTGTACAGGGGAAGATGCAAGGGAGATAGGAGGGAATCCGAGGTGCGTAAATTAAGTGGGGTACTGGAAGGGATCCCAATGACCTGAAATAACCGCTAGGGCAGCGCTTGCTTCCGAAATCCATGCAACACGTGATTGGAGCTGGACAGGCTGTTGGGGCTCCCATTTGGGATGACTGGGGAGTAGGTAGGTGGGTGATGTCAGCAAGGGCCTGAGGACGGCGAGGGAGGTGTCCAGGGAAAGAGTGCTCCAAGCAGAGGGGACAGCTTCGTCACAAGGCCTGAGGTTGAAACAGGCCTGGTGGCTCAGGAAATACTGTAAGCGGGATACTGTAAGGAAATGACATCCATCGAAGAGGTCATAAACTAGTTGGAATGGCTCCTGTGGAAATTTGCATCTAAGGCGGTGTTAAATGTGAGAGGGCGGGGCCACCGGTGGCGTGTGGATGCAGCAGGTGCTGACGGACAGTGCGGTTCTGGTTCTGTTTTGAAGGCAGCACCCTAGCACTCGCTGATGGAGTGCATGGGGAGAAGCAAGGGCATGAGTGATGAGCCATGAAGGCGGCACCTGGGTCTGCGGCCGGAGCCACAGGAGGCTGGAGCGGCCACGGTGGGGAGGCGGTGGACATCCGAGTCTGGGGTGCAGGAGCAGTGTCTAAGCTAGAGATAGACATGTGGGAGTCATCAGCAGAGGGGTGGCATTTAGCATCAGAAACCTGGATGGGATCCGCCCAGAGAGGCCCTGAGAATAGAAGAGGCCCAAGGGCAGAGTATGAACCGCCAGTGTTTGTGGACATCAGAGATGGCAAGGCAACCAACCTCTGCTCATGAAAGACGCTAGTCTCTCCCTCTCTCCCAAACACACAAACCACCCCCACCAGTGACTGCCTCTCGCTGAAGACACAAACAGAAAGGACTTGCGAACCAGACGCCTAGCAAAGAACTCGTGTCTAGAATACATAAATAACTTTTAAAACACAACAGTAAAACAAATGCAAAACCCAATTAGAAAGTGGCCAAACGACAGACATTGCACCAAATGCTCCACATCAGTAATCATGAGCCAAATGCAAACGAGAGCCTCTAGGAGAGGCCACGACCCCCCTGTCGAGAGCCGCAGCATCAGCAAACGGTGGCGAGGAGGGGCAAGACACTAGACGGCTCACATACCGCCACTGGGCATGTAAAAGCGTCCCCGCTACTTTGGAAGATGGTCTTGTAAGTCTGCTGGGGAATTACTGTTGGGTATACAATTACGAATGTCGGGCTGAACTGTGTCCCAAAATGTGTGTCTCCCTGGGTTGGCAGTATGTCATGCTTCGATCTGCCACTTGGTTGAACGGGGAGTAGGGCGGGCTGGAGCACCCTGAGGAGCACCTAGTGGTGCAATGGGTGATGTGTTGGGCTGCCAACTGTGAAGTGAGACGTTCGAAACCACCAGCCACCCAGAGGAGAAAGAGCAGGCTTTCTGTTCCCATAAAGACTGACAGCCCTGGGACTCGACGACTGAGATAGTTTGTTCACAGCACCCTTATTCGGGTCCCAGCCCCGATCAGATTTATGCAAACCTCTCTGGGCATGTGGTCTACATCATCTTTTATCTTAAAAAGGGAGGGAAGTGAGCTGAGAAAGTGGGAACAGAGCACTTTCAGTCCCTCACCCCCAACTCCCCAACTGGGAACCCCTCAGACCCAGGGCAATATTGATGTCCAAACAGCTGGGGGTCAGATCATCTCCTCAAAACTTCCCAGAGACTCCCCACCTCATATTGAGTAAATCTAAAGCCCGTAAAACCTGCCAGCAGACTCCTCAGGAGACCGAAATAATTGGTGGGGCGGGGAGAGAGCTCTGGGTCCACAGAAGCCGCTGCTGCACACCGCACAATGTTCTCCCCACACCAATCCCAATCACGAAGGCTTGTTATTTGATCCACGAGGAAAAGAAATCAAAGTCTAAAATTACACAGAAATCTATTTCGAGGAAATTTGGTAACATGTCAATCACTAGATATTTTTATGCACAAGGAACATTTTCCCCCATCTTGCTGAGAGATTCATCTGGCTAATTGGCTGTGTTTCCTTCCTAACCAAGCTGTTATAATAGGGACTTGGGGGGCAGAGGATGGATTATTATTAAGGTAGTCTCAATAAGATCATTCCAGAGGCGGGTATATGTACTAAACATACAGCGGCCCATGGCCCTTTTAGAAAAGACCATGTCACTCTACTTGTCAGGGAGCTGGGAACACAGGGGGTGGGAAAAGTCGGCAAAGGAAATGTCACATCCTGAGGAACAAAGCCTGGGGGCAGCTAAGTCATTAGGAGTCAGCCTGGTACATGGTCCATGGGACACCACACCAGGGAAAACACAGGAAAGCTGCGAACAGTTTGAAGTCATTCTCATGGATGTTGTGATTTCCTGGACTACATTCTTTTACAGGGGAGGGCAGTAACAAGGACCACTCCTACCTAATCCTCAGAGCCGGAGTTTAAAGAAGCCCCAAAGGAGCTTTCATTTCCGGTTCTCCCCTCCGACTGTGCTCCACAGAGCGTTCCCTGGCCTGGCCCCTATGACAAGAAGCCCCCTGGTCGGGTCTCCTTAGCCAGTGTTCTGCAAACCCACCCTAGCAAGATTTTTGATGTCTCAGCTGAAACTGTCGAGTGTGAACCCCTCTGAGTGGCAACGGATGTTGATGTCAAAATTCAAGGAACAGTGAATCGATTCCCGAATTAATCCATGCTTCCAGTTGAACTGAGTGGTAAATTGTATTATCATTAAAAAAAAAACCCAACTGTGATCTTCAAACAAGAGAGAAGACCTATAACTTCGCACTGTGCCGTTGATTAGGTCCAGTTTCTGCTTCGTTGACTAGGACAAGCTATCAAAGGATCTTGACACTTTGCCCTGGATATTGTTGGTCACTGCCCGCCCCGCTCCTCAC